GTGGGTAGTGGGTAGTGAGTAGTGTTTAGTGAGTGGTGAATATTGAGTAGTGAGTAGTGAATGGTGAGTAGTGAGCAGGTAGTAGGGAGTAGTGAATTGTGAGTAGTGAGAAGTGAGAAGTGGGTAGTGAGTAGTGGGTAGTGCGTAGGGAGTAACGAGTAGAGAGTAGTGAGTAGTTAGTAATGAGTCGTGAGTCGTGAGTAGTTAGTAGTGAGTATTGAGTGGTGAGTAGTGAGTAGTAACTTGCGACTAGTGACTAGTGAGTGGGGAGTAGGGAATAGGGAGTAGTGAGTCGTGAGTAGTGAGTAGTGCGTAGTGAGTACTGAATGTTGCGTATCGGGTAGCGAGTAGCGAGTAGGGAGTAGCGAGTAGTGAGTAGTGAGTAGTGAGTAGTGAGTGCTGTGTAAGGAGTAGGGAGTAGCGTGTAGCGAGCAGTGGATTGTGAGTAGTGAGTTGCGGGCAGTGAGTAATGAGTAGTAAATTTTGAGTATTCAGTAGTGAGTAGTGGATCGTGGTTAGTGGGTAGTGAGCAGTGAGTGGTGAATACTGAGTAGTGGGTAGTTGGTAGTGGGTAGTGGGTAGTGAGTAGTGAGTCGTAAGTAGTGAGCAGTGAGTATTGAGAAGTGAGTAGTGAGTAGTGAGTAGTGAGTAGCAGGTAGTGAGTAGTTAATAATGAATACTGAGTGCTGTTTGGGGCTAAGGTTACGGTTTGGGGTTAGGGTTACGGGTGGTCGGGGTGGTAGTGTTAGGGGTGGTAGGGGTCGGGTTCCGGAGCCAGGGGGCGCCGTGGCGGAAGGGGGGGGGGGGGGTGGGGGGTATCGAATTTGGCGGCGAAAGAGGGGGGGAAGGGGGGGAGTGGGGGTTCGGCCCCCCCCTTTGAAAGGAGGGGAGGGGGGGGGGGTTTCCCCGACGACGGACCGGGAAAGGGGGGAAGGGGAGGGGGTCCCCTGACGACGGACCGGGAAAAGGGTGGGAGGGGGGGGGGTCCCCCGACGGACGGATCGGGAAAGGGGGAGGGGAGGGGTTCCCCCCCCCCCCCCCCTTGGGGAGATCCAGCGGCGCGCCCTCCATGAGTTGCCCATGAAATTTAAGATGGCGTCGGGCGGCTGATCCATCACATCTTCGAGCGAACGGTGAGCCCCGACCCGCGCGAACGACGGGGGCGCGCTGCTGGATTGTCGCAACCGAGAAATCTTGCGCCACGTGTCGGCGCGGGGGCTCTGGGCGCAGGCGAGGTCGGGGTGCCAGGACGGCCCTTCCTCGACAAAACTCGATGGGCCACGGAAAGTGGCCCGAGGAGGAGGAGGAGGAGGAGGAGGAGGAGGAGGAGGAGGAAAAAGGAGGAGAGGAGGAGGAGGAGGAGGAGGAGAGGAGGAGGAGGAGGAGGAGGAGGGCCCCGAGCGGCGGAGCAACTTTGCACGCGCAGAGCCCCGCGAACCTCTCGGCACGAGGCGCCGACCTGGCGCCCCGGCAGGGGCCCGCGCGCGGCCCCGACGGGGAGCCCTGGGGCCGACGGCCCGACAGGGCTCGCGCTCGCGAGCCTCGATCCGTCGGCGTCGAGCTGGCTGCCCCACGGCAGGCGAGCTGCTCCCCAGAGGGGCGCCGAGCAAACGGACGTTGGCGGCGCAGCCTTTTTCTGGGGCAGGAGACCGCGGGGCAGACCCCCAACAGGCATCTGGCACAGCCTCCGCGAGTGGGGTCCTCGATAGCCAAGGTGGCATTCCGTGGAACACGACGCCATGCCACATTCAGCACACTGTGATCGCTTGATATACGCATCAAAACCCGTGTCATCTGCCACCGGCCATTGCCTTCTCGCAGTAATGCCTTAAGCTCAGATGGCGGTGTGACGAGCAAGTCCACATCAGTGCCGTTGTCCGTGGAAAGCAAGTGGGCAGCCTCCATTCCCCAGTCGATGCGATGCAGGGTCAAGGCAACTGCCGGCAATGGTCTGTGGCATCTTGATCAGCTCCAGTCTTTCTGGATACACGGCATTGTACACATGAAGGCACGCTAGCGGGCCGCCAGAGACATGGCGCTGCCCCACATCAAAGCCGCATACCGACGAACCAGCCCAGTCGCGCTGTCGAAGATCGGGCCATACAACTCGTCCGTGTGCGTGGCCAGCCACGCGGTAACGCCAGCATTCTGCCTCGCACCAACCAGGGGCCCAGCAAGACTGCCGAGCATGGCGATCGTGGCTGGGCCGACTTCGCTGGCGCCCGCTCCATGCGCAGCTGCTGGGAGCAGACCAGCGCGCCAATGCGCGCGCACCTTGCCGTGCGACGCGCGACCGAGGGCCTTCCAGCGAGATGTGTGCGTGCCGGCGCGGCGGCCATGCGCTCCCGTTCTGGCAGTCTACGTGGCCTGCTGCCTGCCAGCTCGTGCCCGAGGTCTTGGCATCGCTCGGACGTGTGCATTTCGTCGCCTATGAGCGCGCGAGGCGCGACATCGGATAACCTCCTCCCTACGCTGGAAGGGGCTCTGAATGGCAGCAACTAAACCACGGCACCTGCGTGGCTGCAGCCCGCCAGGCTGCCTCTCAGCATCATCGGAGTGCGGCGGAAAGCGGGTCCTGCGCCCTCATCTTTCGTGGCACCTGGTGCGCCGAAGGCAGCATAATCTAACTGGCGAGCGTGGTCGAGCAGCGCATGGAGCCGAATAGGTTCGAAGCTTTTGTACACATCAATAAGAATACTTCGGGGGTGGACAGAACCCCCAACAGTGACGCGTCGATTAGTGAATTGTCCGTTTTCGGTTCTCGAGAGGGCACCGTGGCCGTTATTTTCCAGGCTTGCGCCCGCCAGGTTTGGGCCTCAGGTCGTTTTCACTAAACCACGTTTTACTAAAGGGGGGTCTGTTCATCCCCGAATACTGGTCGCATCATGCCCGCGTGATTTCGCAGCTTCCGCTGCGAAATCGCGCTGGAACGCCGCGTCCGCGGAGGTGGCGCCCGCCCTGGTGCCCCAAAAAGATCTGGAGATTGGCCTTCGCAGTCTATTCCATATTTGGATGAGTGTGTCGATCGGGGCAATAGGGCTGTGACCTCTGCCTGGCTTGGGCAGGCGGGCGAGGGTCGTGCCCAATCTGTCGTCAGGCCAGCGCCGCAAACTTTTATACATTTCAGGGTCCACTCCGCCACCGCCGCGAAGCCAACATATGAGATGCAGTCGAGAGCACGCGGTTGGAGGTTCACCTGCCCGAGCCCTGTCTGCAGCACTTCCGAATGGTACGCCTGGCATCGCATGCACGTATAGCAGGCAATTGACTCCATTGCTGCCAATCGGGTGGCCGGTGTAACTGCGCATCGCCGTGAATGGTCCAGATATTTCGCCAGAATCCCAGACATTCGCCAGCCATTTGGTACGGCTGCGGGCGGAGGTTTGTGTGATCAAGTACTTGTTGTAGTGCTTTGACCTTGGAATTCGACGAGCGAGACGAGCGCCGTCAGCGAAGGCCTGCTGCGACAATTGGCTCCATTCTGCAGAACTGAAATGCGCGACGGCGGTAATGACAGCGTCAACCTTGTGCGAGACCCTCTCAGCGGTGTCGTGAAAATCATTCGCGTGGAACGTATTGGCAACATCTGCAAGCAAACGCTCTTCAGAACGATCGACCAAGTCAAAGAACCACGTAGCTGTGGAGTCTCTTGCGAAGAAACCTTGCAAGTCCCAAGCCAACTTCGCCAGCAGACCACGTACCTTGTCAGCTTCGTCGCCATGCTGCCCATGCAAACCAGCCAACGTGGGAATAAGGCGAGCTGGACATTGAGCAGGGTTGTGCGTGACATCCATAATCCTTTCGAGACATGTGGGCATGTGGGTGTGCATCGCACGCATGTGCCTGAACCGTCCGCCAAATACTTTGTAGGCCAACAGCTTAAGCGGAGGCGGCGTATCGACAGCTTGCAACTTCTTCCAGGTCCACTGCGCAGGTCCAGCGCGTCCTGGGTGCAACGTTCTGCGCGCTGGCACAGCAGCGTCATGCCGGTTGAGTAACTCATGCTCAATCCCACAGGCAACACCACCCCCCAGAGGCAAAAGTGCCACTACCACCAGCTAGGGGGGTGGCTGTCCCACCCTCTCGAGCTGGTGGCACCTCGTTCCGGGCATGCCTCCAGAGAGTGCCTGGAAGGAGGTGCCACCAGCTCGAGGGGAGGGAGCGGCCACCCCCCTCGCTGGTGGTAGTGGCACTTTTGTCTCTCCTGCAACGGCCACGGGCTTCTCGTCAGGGGCATCGGAGATGTGCTGCGTGATGCCACTCCAGGGGGCATATGGCGGGTGCGGCGCACACCCTGGCCTCCCCATGGTGTCGAGCTGCTTTGGTTCGACTGGTATTCGTGCCAAGATACTCCAGATTTCGTAATAAAAGACAATCCATTTCAGACCCCCCCCCGTGAGAGAACCCTCCAAAACATCGTCCCCAGACCCCCCCTGGCCCTCCAAGATTGCCTGGAAGAGACCCCCCCCGAAATGAGACCCCCCTCCCTTTATTACGAAATCTGGAGTAACGTGACCCGAGAGGCCCATGCCAACCTGACGGGGAGGTGGGGGAACGTCGCGGCGTCATCGGTGACCTCGCAAGCTTGCGCCTACTGGGCATGTGAGGCAGACGCGCAAACATAGCCTCGAGTAGTACCTGGCCTGGCTGCAAATCACGTGGGCCCAGGAGCGCGGTAGCAAAGGCCATGTGCAGAATTCATCAACCCAGCAAGGAGCTCTACATCCATGTTCCAGCCACCTGCGATTATCCAGTGCCGCTTCTGGACGTTGGGGGCGGAAGCGTTCTTGGCCCTTCTCGCGCAACCTCGCGTTATCTTCGTGCAATTTTATCGGGTCAAGCAAGTGCAGTGAGAGAAGGACCAGGCCCCCATCCGGGGCCCCAGCTCGTGCGGGCAGCAGGGGCCCGCCCAGGCATCAGCTCGGGCTGGTCTGTTCCAGGTCCAAGACTGACGCGCGCGTGCTTGGGCGCAAGGATCGCAGTGCCACCGAACGTGCCGCCTCTGCCCGTCTCGGGGGCGGCGGCCCACGAGGCCCTGAAGCCCATGAGCGCGCATGAATGCTGCAAGTCGGTCAACATGCCTTGTCCCGCATGCAATTCCTCAGCCAGGGCAATGGCCTGGCCACAAGCTGGGTTGGTAATGGCATCCTTTAGCACGCCGAACGACGAGAAGTTGGTAGTGATGATCGAGTTCGCACCTGGTGCCGCATGTGCCTGTGTAAAGCTAGCGCCCAACAGCAACCGCCACAACATGCGTAACTGTGCCTTCACAACATGAAGCCGGCAGGCGGTGGCGTGAGTATCTGTCCTCGAACAAGACCGCGCACGTGGCCAAGCAAGGAGGTCTTTCACAGAATTAACATGGCCCCGCGAGGCGACCAATGCTCCACTGCTTCTGGCGCAACAATGCCTCTACAAACGCATGGCGCGACATACACCACCATCGAGCATGCTCTCGGGGCCCATCAGAGAAGCCTTCCACAGGATCAACGTGGCCCCACGAGGTGACCGGTGACCGAAACTCCACTGCCGTTCGTCTTCTCTGGCGTGTCGGTGCCCGTGCGACGACGCTTGGCGAGCTGCTCGGCGGCGGCAGCGAACCTCTTGACTGCCTCCCGCACCTGCTCGTTGCCCGAGGGGGCGCTGGTGCCCATGGCTTCCTTGACAAAGTCGCGGAGGTCGTCGATGTCATCGGAGTCCATATGCGCGAGGTAGTCGTGGGATTCCTGCTGTGCGACGGGGCGTTGCTGCTGAGACGGGGAGTCAGCAGGTCGTGGACATTCGGTCTCGACATGGGCCTTCACATTGTCCTCCTGCTTGCGTGGCTTCAACTCGCGCAGCGCTGTGAAACAAGCGGTGACCGAACCTGACACGGTGTCGTCCGCTCCCCTCGACTTGAGCATTTCCCCGAGCTTGTCAATGGGGAGGTCCAGCGCAGGCACCGTCGCCTTGAGAGAGAACGCGCCTGGCGAAGCGGCAGAGGCTTTAGCCGAGACTTGCCAACGCTGCGTGTCCATCTCCTGGATGTCTGCCGCCAGGTCTGAGAGGCACTTCTCAACCTTGCCGATGTTAGCCTCGAGCCCCTTCTGCTGGGCACGATACTTGTCCGGGAGCTGCTGCTGGTGCACCCTTTGCTTCTCGAGTGCTCCGATCCTGGCGGTGTAGTGATGTAGCTGGCCCGCATGCTGTTCGCTGCGGACGATCTTGGCTTTGATGCCGTCACGCTCACCGTGGAGACCCTGCCGAGCCTTAGTGATGGCTGGGTCAGCACAGTCGCCCAGCTGCTTGGGCAGCCCCGCAATCTCGGCGAGGCGGGCCTGGTCCTCGTCGTCGTCATCGTCATGCGCAGAGGCGGCAGGGGAAGAGCCCGAAGACTCCTGCGACGATCCAGCCCGCAGCCGCTCACGCAGCCTGGCGATCTCACGGTCCTCCTCGCGGAGCACATCACTGCTCTGTTGGACCTTCTGCTGCTGGGTCAACTGACTGATAGCTGGTCGCGGACTAGCGGTATCCACTTGTTCCCCAGGGAAACACAGCAGCTCGAGCCAAAAACGACTACGGAAGGGGGGAGGAGGGAGGAGAGAGGAGGAAGGAGGAAGGAGGAATGAGGAATGAGGAATGAGGAAGGGGGAAGGAGGACGGAGGAGTGAGGAAGGAGGTTGGAGGACGGAGGAAAGGGGAACGGACTAAGGAGGTAGGAGGAGCGATGGAAGAGGAATGAGGAAGGACAAAAAGGAGAACAGATGAAGGAGGAAGGCGGGAGGAGGAAGGATGAAGCAGGCCAAAGGAAGGTGGAAGGAGGATACGGAGAGCGGATGCGAACGATGAGGAAGAGGAGGAGGAAGAGGAGGAGGAGGAGGAAATGGGAGAGGACGAGGAGGAGGAGGAGGATGATAATCAAGAAGAAGAGTAGGTAGAGTAGGGCGGGGGTAGGGCGAGAAGAGGGAGGAGGTTTGCGATGATGCTAATGCTGATGCTTCAGACTATGACGATGACGATGGTGATGGTGATGTTGTTGTTGATGATGATGATGATGATGATGATGCTGATGCTGATGCTGTTGTGGCTGATGATAATGGTAATGCTGATGATGGTACTGATGATGATGCCGCTGCTGCTGCTGCTGACCATGATGGTGATGATGATGTTGATGCTGGTGATGGTGCTGATGTTGATGATGCTGAGGATGCTGTTGAGGATGATGACATGGAGGAGAAGGAGAAGTATGTGGATGCGGGTGACGGCGAGGGCTAGGATGAGGATGATGATGAGGATGCTGCTGATGATGCTGCTGATGATGATGACGATGATGATCATGATGCTGCTGATGATGATGATGATGATGATGATGACGATGATGATGATGATGATGATGATGATGATGATGATGATGGTGAGGAGGGGGGGATGCGGAGGAGGGGGAGGAGGAGGCGGAGGATGAGGAGGAGGAGGAGAGGATAATCAGGAGGAGGAGGAGGAGGCGGAGGAGGACGAGGCCTTGGTTACTAGGTGTGTCAGGCTGCACCTCAGGGTTTTTCTGCATTTCCAAGATACGACGGGCCTGGCAACATACGCCGTCGTAGCGCAAGTTAAGAGAGTGGAGAATGGAGAGGCGGAACAGGATTCTGATGATGACGGTGCTGCTGCTGCTGATGCTGATGATGCTGCTGCTGATGATACTGAGGGTGAAGATGCCGATGCTGTTGCTATTGCAGTTGCCGGTGATAATGCTGATGCTGATGCTGATTTTGATGATGATGATGCTGTTGTTGATGATGATGATGACGATGCGGATTCTGCTGATGATGATTATGGTGCTGATGCCGATGGTGATGATGATGATGCTGATCGTGATGCGGGTGATGATGATGCTGACTTTGACGATGATGATGATGGTGATGGTGGTGCTGCTTATATGTAGGATGCTGTTAATGCTGCTGATGATGCTGATGATGATGATGCTGATGACGATGGCGATGCTGATGCTAATGGTGATGATACTGTTACTGATTATGCTGATGTCTATGCTGATGCTGCTGTTGAGGACGAGGCTGATGATGATGAGGATGCTGATGATGATGATGATGATGATGATGATGATGATGATGATGATGCTGCTGCTGATGATGATGATGATGATGGTGCTCGGATCGATATTGATACTGATGTTGCTGCTGATGTTGATGCTGTTGATGCTGGTCTGACGGTGATGATGATGGCGACGACGATGACGACGATGCTGATGCTGGTGATGCTCATGATTGTGATGACGATGGCGATGCTGACGATGCTGCTGATGATGCCAATGCGAACCATGCTGATGATGCTGATGATGGTGGTGAAAGTGCTGCTGCTGCTGATGATGATGATGCTGACGCTGATGCTGCCGTTGTTGACGATGCTGCTGATGTTGATGTTGATGCTGCTGCTGACGACGGCGATAATACTGATGCTGATGATGCTGATACTGTTAATGGTGCTGGTGCTGATGATGCTGATGATGCTGATGATAACGATGATGGTGATGCTTCCGATGATGATGGTGATTATGATGATGATGATGATGTTTATAATGATTCTGATGACGATGATGATGATACTGGTGATGATGGTGATGACGAGGCTGATGATGCTGATGATGATGCTGGCGATGGCAATGATGATCATGCTTATGCTGGTGTTGATGATGCTGCTGTTGATGATGATAATGCTGATGCAGCTGCTGGGACTGGTGCTTTTCTTGATGAGGATGCTGCTGCTGCTGGTGATGCTGATGCAGCTGCCGACGACGATGACTCTGATGATGACGATGACGCTAATGCTGATGCTGAGTATAATGAGGATGATGCTGATGATGCTGATGCTTATGATGATGCTGCTGCTGATGATGATGATGATATTGGGCTGGCCTCCTGCCAGTGCCGCCGATCCGGGGGGTGAGAGCGAGAGATGATGATGATGATGATGATGATGATGATGATGATGATGATGATGATGATGATGATGATGATGATGATGATGATGATGATGATGATGATGATGATGATGATGATGATGATACTGCTGATGATGCTGCCGATGATGGTGATGTTGATGTTGATGCTGCTGATGATGATGATGATGCTGATGCTGATGCTGATGCTGATGATGATGATGATGGTGGTGATGATGATGATGATGCTGTTGCTGTTGCTGTGATGCTGTGATGATGATGCTGATGCTGCTGATGCTGATGATGATGATGATGATGATGATGATGATGATGATGCTGATGATGATGATGATGATGATGATGATGATGATGCTGATGATGATGATGATGATGATGATGATGATGATGATGATGATGATGATGATGATGATGATGATGATGATGATGATGATGATGATGATGATGATGATGATGATGATGATGATGATGATGATGATGATGATGATGATGATGATGATGATGATCATGAGGAGGAGGAGGAGGAGGAGGAGGAGGATGAGGAGGATGAGGAGGATGATGTCGAGGTCTCCTTGGGACGTCTTGGCGGCTTCTGGAGCCGTCTTGGGGACAACTTGGGCGTCTTGGAGCGATGTTTCGGCGATACGGGGGTCTTGGACCGTCCAGGGGGCCTCTTGGGCCTCTCTTGGCTTTTCCTTGGGCCGTCTTGTGCGGTCTGGGCTGTGGACTTGGGTCGTCTTGTGGCGCTCCTGGGCCGTCTTGGGCCCTTTTGGGGCCGTTTTGGAGCTCTTTTCGGGGCCTGTTGGCGTGTCTAGGGGAGCTCTTGGGCGGTCGAGGCTCCGGAAGTGGAATTTTCTATACCCCCGTGTCCCCGGGTACCGAAAAACATTGGAAATGACGTCGGAAATATCCCCGGGTACCGAAAAACGTCGGAAAGGACGTCGGAAATAACGTACGCCCCCCCCCCCCCCCCCTGCAGAGCGAAGCTTGAGCGAGCTCAAGTCCACGCTCTCAGAAACTCACACCCCAGATCGGCGAATTTGTGGCGGTGATGATGATGATGATGATGATGATGATGATGATGATGATGATGATGATGATGATGATGATGATGATGATGATGATGTTAGTGATGATGATGATTATGATGATGATGATGATGATGATGATGATGATGATGATGATGATGCTGATGATGATGATGTTCGTGATGATGATGATGATGATGATGATGATGAGGATGCTGGTATTAATGATGCTGATGATGGTGATGCTGGTGTTGAGGATGATGATGATGATGATGAGGAGGATGATGATGCTGATGCTGCTGCTGATGATGACGATGACGCTGATGATGCCGATGATGCAGATGATGATGATGATGATGATGATGATGATGATGATGATGATGATGATGATGATGATGATGATGATGATGATGATGATGATGAGGAGGGAGGAGGGAGGAGGAGGAGAGGAGGAGGAGGAGGAGGAGGAGGCTGAGGAGGAGGAGGAGGAGGAGGAGGCTGAGGAGGAGGAGGAGGAGGAGGATTGGGATCGTGGCGTATTTGTGGTTGGTTACCCTCTGGCGCGGGACCCTTCGTTACCCCGCCCCTGGGTAACGGTACCGATCGCACTTAGGGGGGCGGGGTTGGACCTTCCCCCCCAATGCTGGTGCTCGCGCGCATACCGTGGCGATCGCATTGCACCCCCGCTCCGACATGCCCCAATCCCGCCCGAGCGTTATGGTTAGCCCCCCCCCCCCAATGGTTACGACCGTGACACGGACATGATTAATCCGACAATCATAGAAGCTTCGCATAACTATCTCCACGACGAGCGCTTGCACGCCGCCAGACGTGTCTCAGTCTTCTTCCTGGACTTGGCCACGGGCTACACTTTCTTCGCCATTTTGGTTTGCATCGAGGCCAGCACCTTGGCCTTCGTCGGCTTCGGCGTGCCCTACCTGTTCTTCAGCGTCGGTTTCGCCCTCTGAACCGCAGCGCAGTCCGCTCCTGCCTGCTTAGTGCCTAATTTCGTCCGCTGCTCGTTAGCTGCGCTTTGACTCGGCGCCGAGCGATTTGTCGCTACGGTCGCAATCGGCAAGTAACCAGCTCCACCAGCCGATCCAGAAGCGGTGCCCAGGCGAGTTGCCTTGATCGGGGAGGTGGAGCAGACCGGGCCCCTGAGACGGGGGAGACTGGAGGAGGACTCGGACAAGGAAGAGGGGCAGGGGGAGGGGCAGGGGGAGGAGGGAAAAAGGATTTAGTAGGGCGTGTCCTCCTACAGGGGGATCTTCGACGCAGAATGCAACATGTTCAAACATATTCCAACATGGTGGACAAAGATTCAAAAATTAGTCCCTCATTTTTTTGTGTGTGTGTGTGACCATTTTTGAATTTTCCCCCTGTGGAAGGACAGGCCCGAGTTAAAGGAAGGACGAGGTGGATGAGGCGGTGGAGGCGGAGGAAGAGGAGGTGG